CCTTTTTTTTCTGAAAGTCACAGAAATTAGGATGCACAGCAGGACAGGAATATGACTCCACTGAAGGAAACGATGACTCCACTTTATTATACTCCTGTAGTTCACAGCACCGTCACATCTTATTGAGCTGTACCCCACAGATATCCAGATGGCTCATGCATCTGGACTGTAAAATAGTTCCAAGCAGCTCCTCCACAAACTGCCTAATAGAATCCTACTGTTGCCCTGAACACACAGATAAACACAGGCAACGTTCATGGCAGGACAGAACTACACCTTGTTCCTTTATCCCCAAAGAATGTTTTAAAGTTTGCCTTTCCTTTGTCATTGTGGTGACACCAGCTAAATATGACGAGTAGGCATGCCATTACGTTGCATATTGAGAAAAAAATGTGCCGTCATTGCACCGGACACATGATTACCTGCATCAGTGTTGTCATAACCGCAAATATGCGGATCATAAAATCTGATTTTAAAAAAGGCATCGGTCGAGGCCCAGGATACATTAAATACATGGAAACAGATGATCCTCTATGACGACCCATAACGGGAGCAGTCGAAAGAACAACAAAGTGTTGCCATAACAGTCATAACTCGGCAGCACAACAAGTACACTGATATTATAGTGGCCGTCTACCATGCTCGACAAAGTCTGCAAGCTATCCGAGTTCCGATTCGTGCTCCAATGAATTTTAAAACCTTTTTCTGAAGACTCGTACGTACTGACAGAAGGGACAATTTGAACAAGGGTTTATTTCTGATCCATTACAACGTGACGGCCAGGTGGCAACTTCCAGATCTTAAAAAGTGAAGCCAATGCGAAAGTGCCTTAAACTTGCGAGGGGGCGGCGACTCTGGTTGTATAGAAGTCTATGAGAAAATGACTCTACTTCTCTCTTGATTTATTACCTCAGTAAACATTGTAAACATGAGTTTATGGTCTCAATCTCTAGTTTCAAGTCTTCTTCAATACAGCATGATGTTCATTTAGTACATTATGGTCCATTTAGAGTCACACAGACCATAAAGCAGGGGATGCTTTAGGGCGGGGCTACACGGTGATTGACAGGTAAATAACAAAATATCTATTCCAGCACTTTACGGCAAGAAAATGGCAAACACACATATTCTTACTAAAACCGTGATATACACTTAAATAATATCGGAAGTTATGTAACATGCCATGGCAACATAAACAATTGTTCCCAATATAAATACATGATCTCTAACAGATATATTTTGTGTTCTTAAAGAAAAACTCAGCTTCTGAGACACCGTCCACATCTCTGATATATTTTCAGCCTTTCAACTAGGACTGGTGTTGTGCTCATCGACTGCTGTTTCCCCAGTTGGAGAAACAATTGACAAATTAGAGCTTTGTAGGTCAAGAATAGGGGCATCATTCCCCTGTGCCAGAGCCAGAATCAATCCTGGCCCCCACTGGGCAGCCCAAACATGAACACAATGTCAGACTTAGTAACAAAGTGAAAACAACAAAGCAAATCAGTGTGATTATCAGGGCTAAGATGAAACAGTGGTGTGGGAGCAAATGTAGTGGTTCATTAAAAAGGTTTTACCTCCTGGGAGCAAGACCATGCTCAGCAAATTATATATAAATATCCATATTAGATTGTTCTTGTTGTCTTGTGCACAAAGCTAGAGGGATCCTCTGAGGAGCATGAATGTGTTTTGTAAATATCATGGCACTTTGACTTCCTGTGGCCTAAGGAAAGGTTTTGGGGTCAACAAAAGGCGCATCCTCTGTGGATCATGAGAATTCAAGCAACATTTCAAGGAAATCTGCACAGCATGTTACATCCTTAGGCCTTGCTGTTAGCGGCGTTAAAAAGTCACATGGTCCAACTTTTTAAGAGATTCTTGGTTTTTTTTCCCGTTAAAATATCCTTGCGCTGCCAATTCAGGTTGTCTTTCGGGTTTAGGTTGAGCTCTGAGGAAGGAAAAGGAAAAGGATTGGTCCTGGTTAAGTAAAGTGAGACACAAATTGACAGAAACAAAATCTGACACACCAGGACTCCAAACGAGCCTTGGATTTGGTGAAGCTCCAAATGTTTCCATACAATCAAATTATATCTTCTCGGATATTCTGTATTAAACTTGGTTGCAGACTGTTTAGAAGCGGCACTGAGCAGTTTTGCACCAAGTAGCAGCAAACCGTGACTGAGCACAGTGATGGTTAAACTCTGTAAAACAAAACCCATATATCACGTGTCACCATCAACACAACGATGGGCAGCAAAGTAAATGCTTAGTGCCTGTTGGGGGTGGAGGTGGTGAAGAGAGGAGCATTGATTCATTGCTGTTTAGGAGACTCGTGACTACTCTAATCACAAACAGAAACTTGATTCCAAACTGGAATTAATAATAATTGAATGTTTTGGAAGTGAGTTTATTTAAGGGTACTACTGTCAATGGAGATCCCAGTTCAAGACCTCAGTGTGGCCTGGTGGTTAAATCAGCTATATCCTGAAATCATCTGGATGACTTTGGGTTCATTAAAGGGTAATGAAATAGCTTTCTTTATTCCACTCTACATGTACTTTATAAACTAATTCCCTCTGCTGCCATAAAACTGTCACATTAAAAGAAAGATTATCTATTCAGTTTCCCACTCTTTTCTTAACTTTAAAATAATTAAAGGGAACATTAACTGCACCAGAATAATTTGTTTGAAAACTGTAACTCACCGACCAAAGCTCCTTTCAAAAATCTATTCATTCCTCACAGCTGTCAAACCTCCCTCGAGTGAGACACCAAAGCTTTGCCCTTTGCTGGATTGGAGCTCCTGTCTGGTCCTTAGCTAACCTCTTCTGTGCTGCTGATCCCACCGCCGCTTCAAACACCTGTTAGACCGCTGAGCTTTCTTCACTCAAACGTTTTTACCTTCAGTGCCAGTGAACATTTTAATACCTCCAGACACATATGTAAGTGCACTGAAACAACAGGTGTTTATTTGTGTGCCTAAACCAGGCGGCAACTTACAGGTCTGAAAAGTGAAGCCAATCCTGAAGAGCTTTAAACCTGCATTCTCTCTAGTGTCCACCAGGGGGCGACTCCTCTGGTTGTATAGAAGTCTATGAGAAAATGACTCTACTTCTCTCTTGATTTATTACCTCAGTAAACATTGTAAACATGAGTTTATGGTCTCAATCTCTAGTTTCAAGTCTTCTTCAATACAGCATGATGTTCATTTAGTACATTATGGTCCATTTAGAGTCAAACAGACCATGAAGCAGGAGATGCTTTAGGGCGGGGCTACACGGTGATTGACAGGTTACTACCATGACTTTGTCCAGTCTGGGACTCGGCTTTGAACTCTTACCATTTCACAGTGTGTTTTCAGTTCATGAAAGTCAATGGTCGCCTTTGGTCCTAAAAATGTCTTATTTAGCGCTCGGTTGCTCCACCCTCTCGTGTCACTTCTGGTTGCAAAATATCAAGATGGCGACGGCCACAAACCAAGATGGCGACCACCAAATCAGCAGTCCACAATCCAGTCACATGTACTAAACCTTACCAAACCATTACCATAGTGGTGTCACGTCAGTGACATTTTTTGGAAGACACTGATAAATGATGTCGTGCTGCCGATAGTGGCGTCAGATCAGAAAGCACTTTTATGTGCGCTAAATTGAATGGTAACCAGTTGACAAGATATTTCACTCTGAGACACAAATGCCATCTTGATTGTAGTGCTACTGGAAAAACCAGGTAATCAACAAAGTCATTGGAATTCATCCTCCCGGCACTATGAATGTCTGTACAGTGGACAGACCGACCAAAATAAAAAGCCACTCCTGGATCTTCCCACATTTCATTGCTCATCTGCTACATTTGAGCCAATTCTATTTGAAAGTTCTTAAGATGAGTTAAAGGACGGAGGAGGTGGTGCTTACAGTATCCATAGGTACAATTACAAATCTATAAAACTAATGGTGTTTTCATGTAAATATCAAAGTGTGAATGAAGCAACAAGTGGGTGTTATTTGGTACCAACAACAAAATGCTTTGGAACCTGAGAATCTTTTTGCAGCCCACACGTTTCTTTTATTTAATATCATGGTTGTTGAAACGCTTCCATACTGACAACATTTCATCGATCCAGGAGATGAGAGACCAATGTCACGTTGGCATTTTGAAGGGACAAGGGATGAGATCACGCCATGAATTAATTGTTTCAGTTCACTACTCAGCACTGCAGCGCTTCAGTAAAAGATAGTTATCTGTCTGTCTCTGCTTCTTTACAGTCACTTATGTGACTCGGCCACCATATGAATGCTAATTTTATCTTCTGATAAATACTATTGACAAAGCCTTCTCAACTTTATCTAATCTATTCGATTTGTTTGATGATAAAATGCCTTTAGCCTATTTAAAAATGTAACAATCGAATTACGTCCATTCATTTTTCCAATTTGACTACTTAACATTTGCACTTTTTGCCGCCCACTTGAAGAGAATATGCATCAATTATTTTTAGTGCACTCGGCAGCATCATGCCAGAGTGTGTATTTCCGTTTCACACATAGTTTCTTAACCCTTTCCTGGCGCTTGTTGCTCCTCGTCTTGAGTATAGGATTGTAGACGGTGAGCAGAATATGAGCTATCAAGCTATATGAGCAACAGGTTGGGTTAGTACAATGTTCAGATTTCTGTTCTGCAAATGTGTTTAAATTTGCACATCTTTAAAAAGACAATGCCTCATTTGCATAATTAAAAATACATTATCAGAAAACTTAATGTATTCAGGGACATGTGCACTTCGTTAATCAAGACTTTAGACAACAAAACTCCACAAATTTTGTAAAATGTCCATTGCTTCTGTGATTATTTCTGTTAGGAGATTTCCCATCGGGACTTTTCTCTCAAACAATGAAAGCGGACCTGTTTGGGTTTCTTCTCTCCCCAGCTAGCCTGTTGTTGTGTTGTGTCACTAATCTCCTTTTCTCTCTGTCTCTGTTCTTCTCTGCTTCTCTTTACAGCTACATTGGGGACCTTGGAATTCAGTTTGCAGTATGACCAGGAGAACAATGCGCTGCACTGCACCATCAACAAAGCCAAGGTGAGTCCCCGTGATGACATTATTTTGCAGCTTCTATTACCATCAAATATTTGTTCTTGGATATACTTTATATATACACAAGTGTTCATATCTGTTGCTTTGGATTTAGCTAAACTGATCCCAAATGGCCATATGCATTGAGTTTTATTCATTATTGACTGAGCAAACGTCTGTCACTACCTCGTAACGAGGCGCTAAAAAGGCTGATCAACATCAACCAAGTGACAGTTTTTCAATATGTTTTCAAATTTAATAACTATCAGACATGAATATTTTAGCAGCAGCCTACTCTCGTGTCAACCTACACGTACTGGCAAAAAGGCTGCGGAATAGCGAGTTAACACGTCCCACTGTTCCCTCTGTGAGAGAGATATTAACATCTATTTTCATCTCAGAAAGCATTCATTATTTGTGAAGCAAACGGACCAGGAATGTGCATCCAAACACTTTTGTCTTAAACAAAGAAGCGTTAATAAGTAGGTTTCATATTAAAAGTTACTCTAAGGTGACTCACTGGTGAATAAAGTTAAACTTCTAATATTTCTGGAATTGGTGGAGACCAAAACAGAGCTGAAAGGAGACTGAATATTGGACTGACTGTACTGTAAAATGTCAAATAGTGACCGAGACCTTAAGCTACCTCAACTGAAGAGAGGCCTTTATTAAAAACAGGATATGATGGGAGCGGACCTTTAGGTTTAATTTCCTCTATTTTTTTCTGTATATTTCATCAAACTGTAATGAGAAGACCATCTGTTCCTGTTTGAAGTGTTACTTTGCCGGTACTGTTGTATAATTCCTTTAATAATTTCCATTAGTACACCAACATGCAGTAATCTCTCCATACTCTCTCAGCTGGTTGAGGAGTTTCTCGTTTGATCAGCAACACTGTTCTTCTCTCTCATTACTTAACTCCAATCAGATCTCGCTTGTCTTTCTCAACTCTTACAGCAGAAAGTGTTTAAAATGTAACGGCCACCTGCACAACGCCAACGTAAACTGGAGCTCAACACAACACATTATTGTTAATAAATGTTATTGTATTATTCTCGGTTTCATAGGAGATCATTTTTACATTATAACAGACATTTTTCAAGTCTCTTTTCATGACTTTCATGAAATGCTACCAGATTAAGCCAGTTGGAGCAACAATACAGTGTTGGACGGATGACGTGTTTTTCTTTGACCAACCCTGACGTTACCTCTCTGGTTCCCTCAACAAAACGGGGCCGGCTCTCGACTGCTGTGAATGGGGGGGCAGTAAGACCATGTTGGTTCGTCACCAAGGACTGGTGTTATTATTAGTGTTTTTTTAGGACCGTAAGCTGCACTGTTGTATGCTTTAATCTAAAGCTATCTCCCAATAAGGCTGCAATTAAGAGGCTTTCCACAAGCTAGCAGATGGGAAAAGGTCACCAGCTATGGGGGTCCGGGGGCATGCAACTCTCTGTGAACTTTTTTGGCCAAGTTGGTGGCTTCCGTCACATTTTAATACCACTATCCCACCATATACACTTATTTTGATTAATACAAAGTTGATAATGACATCCCAGCAAAACCGAGAGCTTTACCTCACGTCTGGATGGTTCCGAGCGTCACAACATGAACACGCAAACACAGATGGAGTATGAATTGTATTCACGGGGCACCAGATCAGAGTAGATTAATGTTGTAGCTGAATCAATACTGCTTACAGGCTTCCTATGGACATTAGACAGCCAGATTAGCATTGATGACTTGTTCAGTAAATACTTCTTCTACATATCTAGCATATTGGGGGTGGACTGCTATTGCAAACCATATCTAACTTTTAATCATTTTGATCGAACACAACACAATAAATACGAGTCCAGAGGTGTTTACCTCTCTGATTCCGTCTCCTGTGTTTGTTATGATGAAGCGGCGGCTCCGACAGCCACGGCTGCCGTCAGCAGCTATAACTCTTCCTATCTGTCTGCCTGAATAGCTGCTATGGAGGAAAGTGGGCATCAGAGGAGCCAGTCTTGGCAGGAGTGTTGGACAGCAGAGTGGGCATCATGCCATCTTGATTTATGATGGTTCTTTTCTATACTGCTCTGCTTCCTGTCTTCAGCTGCTGCCTAGCCAACCAGAAGAAGAAAAAATGATTTTTTCTCTCTCAAATACTGTATATTCCCATTTTCAGGATTTAATTTGAGGGGTTTTTTTCTGTTGCTTTTGTCACCAAAGCAGCAGTAGCTTCAATAATAACTGTGATTGAGAGTACCTCAGTTAAGCATTCCTCTGATTGGATCTTATAGATCCTGGCTCTGAAGAACGGCAGAAGGTTAAACACTAAATTCTGATAATTGGGCGCTGGTTAGAGTGACGGTGTGCAGTGGGGATTGGGTTTTATAAGAATGAAGCAGTGATTGCTCAAACATACAATGCTTACATGACCATAGCCCTGTTGATGATTGGTCCAAAAAAAATAAGTGTTCAGAAATTGACAAAAGAGGTCGCAAATGACCACTGAACTGAATAAAAATAAAAGAACAACACGTCTTATTTCTAATACAACTCTGCCTGCTGACCTACTATTAATCACATTGACCTTCTCCAACTAACACAGTGACGCTCAGCCGATCTGGAAAAGAATAAATTGCCATTTTTGACAAACAGAACAGCAGAAACTGCAAGAGTGAATTATTTTGCGACACAACTGACTTAAAGCCAGAACCGATTTCATGCATTAACCCCTCCAACACCACTGGAAGTGTTAAGGAATGGCCATTTGTTCTTATGTTTCCAAATGTTAAAGTATCAACATTCAATTAAAATCTTGAGTGATCATTCTTTCAGTCCAATTCCTCTTCATTTGGCAAACTCGTTTCTATTAGAAATAGTCTAAATGCCCTTTCTGCTTTATCAACACTATGGGCCCCGGTACTCTCTCTCTTCTACAGCTCCCTCACTCTATATTTATCCTGTTTATAACACGCAGTGGAACAGGGACCCTTGAACTCCTACAACATTTCCAGACTCTCAATGGACGGTTTGAGGAAAGAATCATCAATCCAGCCGAACCAAAGACAACGTCTGTTTTTATTCCATGTATTCTTCTTCCTCGTCAAAAAACAGGCGCCTCCGTCACCCACAACACAAGTGGACCGCTCAATTTTATAAATCTTTCCCCTAAACAACTGATCCCAAGAACCATTAGGAGACTTTGATACGTAAAACCTATGGAGTTCCCCTCTAAGGTGGAGTAAATGTGGTTGAAGTTCAGGTACGATGTGGTTATGGTAATTACCCGTGTACTGTGTTTAAAATATGTAAGTAAGGTAAGAATTAATACACCTGGTCAAAGTTAGAGACAGATCATGAATGTAGCTTTAAAAGTGACATTCTATATTCAGAATTGAGCCTCATGACATGCTTCCAAAACGCTGCCGCCAGATTACCCCCCAGGACAAATCGACGGTCTCACATCACTCTGATCTCTCCACTGGCTCCCTGTAGCTTTTAGGATACACTTTAAAATTCTCCCTCTCATTTACAGAGCACTACACGGTCAGGCTCCTACATGTGTAGCTGATCTACTTCACCCCTATTCACCCGCCCGCGCTCTCAGGTCAGACGCTTTAGGTCTTCTGTCTGTCCCACGCACTCGCCTTGAGACCCGTGGTGACGGAGCTTTTGAGGCAGTAGCACCGAGGCTGTGGAATGCTCTGCCTGCACATCTAGGCCTCGCAGATTCTGTGAACGCATTCAGAAATCAGCTCGAGACTCACCTCTTTAGACTGGCGTCTGGGTAAAACCCATCTCCTAGACCTGCTTTTAAACCATGTTTTAATTTTGTATTTTCTGTGTGTATGTAAATGATTGGCCCTATGGTCACATTGTGTTTTTTATCTTTGTAATTTTGCCCTCTTGGACTTGAAGTCTTGACTGATGATTATTGGGATTACTGAGGTCCATTTTCACGATGTCACACAGAGAGCATGAATAGAGCTCTCGTTCTGCAGCTCGATCCAGCAGCAACCTTCCCACATCTTAGACATTTGAATGTGTCCAAGGCCCTTCACTGCCCCTTCATTCACCCACCTAGCACAACGGACAAAATGCTACCTGCATCACTGCCCTTCAATCCGGCTGCCAATCATCACATATGTATTTTCACCCGTTCTTATTTTTCTTTCCGCTCTGCTATTACAAAGGTAATTATATATCATTTTTAGTCACTTTTCGTGATTCTTTTTCATTGCTTTGTATTGTTCAAAGAGAAGGAACGAGTAATTAATTTTGTTGTCATCACAATAACAAAAGCACAATAGTGAGGCGCTTTTTTATTTACTCGTGTTCCTTGTTCCACTAGATAAACAACGCTCAGAGAAACAGGTGTTTGTGCTCGTGCAATCCCCGATATGTTAAGACAGTTCTTCTGGATACTGAGAAAGCCTGTAAATGTGTTTAAGAAGAGTGTAGTTGAACAATTTGGACAGTTTTTGCATAAAGTAAGAGGTCTGTGGGTTTCTTACTAACTGCACTTGGTAATCTACTTTGTAGGTGGAAATGAAGGGCTCCGAGCCACAGAACGAGGAGGAGGGTAGTAGAAAAAACAGCCCATAGACTCTCCTGTTCACAATTTATTAAATCCATAGAACAAATTCAGACACTTGTCCTTTTGTGCAACTGATCTCTATCCTGTCGGGCTTCTTTCTACCCTGCAAGTTAAAATCATGCGACTTATGTTGTCTTGAAGAGATATTTACTTCATCAGAGTGAGCTTTGTTTTATAACGTCCATGCCATTGAGCAAAATGACGGTTGTGGGACGAGAGCTGCTGCTCGTCTGAACCAAAGACATTACAGTGACATCAAATGCTGTTTCAATTAAGCTCCGGGTGTGACCACAAAATGTGTCCACAAGTGATGAGATGACTATCTGGGCATGCGTCAATCAAACGTACCATTATTAATAATGGTCGCCAGTTAATATTCACTCATTATGTGAAGTGATTCTATTTAGATAAATATGTT